GTTCCTATTATGACACTGGACAATCTGTTTTCAAAGAAATCTTCAGTCTTCAAATTGCCTGCAGCCCCAGGTAAAGGAGGAAAGCTGGACAATCCCAATTCAAAGCTAGGGGACGGAGGCTTTGGAGGTGGCGGAGACTGTGTTTGCCCTCTCTGCAACAAGAGAAGTGAAACACGTTATCAAGTTAGATCAAACTATAGTTAAAGGGAAACTATGATGCTTAGTAGTTTCGTATCAGACCAATAAATAAGAAAGATCAGGGCCTCAAAATGTTATTTACCATCAGATCCCCAAGATTTAATTCTGCTGACTAAGTGAGAGACATACCCTTATTTACACACACACACGCACACACACACACACACACACACACACACACACAGCTGCTTTAACGATCCTTGAATAATTTATGAATTAGAAGTGTAGGTGTAATTATTCCAGCAATCATGCGGGTACAGAAAGGACAATAAGCAGTCTCAATACAGAGCACCTTTAGGACATTTCTACACTTGCCAAAAAAAATAAAAATGTGGGAACATGTACACTTTGCCCATGACTTTTTGCAATGAAACTAACGTTTCACCATAAAAAGACCACCACCTGCATGAGAGGCATATAGCTCTTCCCAGTGATGTACAAGTGAAGACACATTCTTACTGTATACAGAGCTTTTAGGCGCCACAGGACATAACACAGATGTCCATATCTTCACCCTGCATAGCCCCAGGGAATTCTGAAACTTCCATTTGTCATCTTAGCAAGTGCTCACTTATGTGGCCAGGTGACAATGCATGTTCCAAATAATCCCCTGCTTGCAGCAATGCTCAACTATTGGAACTGGCCAGTGTTTAGGGAGAAGGAACACAGGAAGCTCTCCCATCATCTACTCCTTCCCATGAAAGCTGCACTATAGGATAACTGCCCTCAGGGCATTGCTCTCTTCAGTATGCATGTTTTCTTGTGTAACCATATTTAAGCCTATTCTTCATGGCATGCTAGATATTCAAGTCCTGTTGCCCATATTTCACTTAATTATGATCAAATACTCACTGTAAACTTGTCCTCCCTTTTCTTTCGATAGCCATATGAATTTTTCCTAGAAGAAAGAACATACAATTAACATCAGAACTTTGCATAGATGGGATACAGAAATAATCTATTTCTGAGTTATTACTGCCATCCTCATCCTATACGCTTATTACAGAAGTCATTATTTTAGAGACAAAAGTGACAAGGAGTCCTGTGGCACCTTATAGACTAACAAAGACCCACTTCGTCAGATGCATGTATTTTAGAGACAGCAACTAATAAGGATTATACTACAACAAAGGCACAAAGTTTACACAAAACAAATGTTCACTTTAAAAAACTTCCCCTGTGCAAAGTACAGCTATCTAAAATTATCAGGAAATCTCAGACACCCAAAACCATTCAATAAACATGGGCCAAATAATTTTTACTTCATATTTAGGAAGTGAGTTAGCACTGGCTGAAACTTAAAAACATAGTTTATCTGCAGAAGTATTAGGCCCATAGATTCTGCCTGATGGGAGGAACAGCAGCTCAGGGCTGAGCAGAGCTACCTGTGGCCCCTCCCTTTTGAGCTGTGGCAGGTAAGCACTCATCCTCTGACCCCCTCTTGCCCAAGCCCCCCACTTCTGCCTGCTCCTATACCCTCCTGCCCAGATGCCGAACCCACACCCTCAGCCCACTCCTACAGCTCACCTCTCAGAACCTGAACTCCAACCCAAACCCCCCCCCCCACAATGAATATCCCTCATTTTTGGCCCCATCCCAAAACCTAGGGGAGCCCCACAAAATCTAACAACTCCAGGGCCCCAGAAGAGTTAATCCAGCCCTCAACTGATTTTTCTGTGGGTCAGTAGCTCCCAGCCCAAAAAAGGTTCCTCATCCTTGACATAAAACACTAGTTAATTCTTTCACCTACAACTCTACATGATAATATATGTACTTATTCACAACTTAAGCTTTTTTTTTTTTAAAACCAAAAGCAATATGTAGACAGAAGAACTATATCTGGACAATATCAAGTCATTCAATATAGGAGTTTAAGTTCCCATTTTTATTTACTGAAAAGGCAAGGTAAATTTGACTTGACTTCAACTTTCTGAAAAAAAACCCCATGTTATAATTCAACTATTTATTGATAAGAGTGATAAGGTAATATTGAGGCAGAAGGAAGTTAAGACACAATCCTGAAAATGTGATTATAAAATGGCAGCCAGGTGTTATGCTTGTATCTCAATTAGGGATGTAGAAAGTATGAAAATAATTGTATAACTGATAAAAATTCTATTGATTACACAGTTAACCACGGTTACCAGTTTACATTCCTAATCTCAATATCTTCCATATCAATTGTGCTTAATTTGTAAATTAAAAATTGCTTCACTAATACCCAACACTGTAAACATCACCTGTGAACTGAAGTGTAAGCTAGGAATGTTACATTTAATCAACTAATCGACTAGTCACTGGAATTTCTATCAACTAGTTGTTATGCGGGGAAGGTAACTCCGCTGTGGATCTGCCTTTTAAATATATTAAGAACCAGTAGGCTCTTAATACATTTTAAAAGCTGAAGCGCAGCAGAGGGAACCCGGTGCAAGCTGGGACAGCTGATTCCCCACTCTTGCTGGGTCCCTCCTGCTGTGTACCAGCCTTTTAAAATATATTAAGAGCCTGACAGACAGTTCTTCATACATTTAAAAAGAAGCACAGAGTTTTGGAACTGGGTGGGAGCCAGAAATCAGCTGATTTCTGGCTTGCGCCCTGTCTTCACTACCCTCTCCCCCCCCGGCTCCTGTAGAGATTGTGCTTAGGACAACCACCTTTTAAGGTAGAGGCAACTAGCAATGGGGAGGGGAGGAGGAGAACAAGGACTAGTTGAGGGACTATTCAACCAATCACTTACGCCCCTAGTGTAATCTTGGCATTTTCTTTACAACACAATAGATCCCACTGTCTAGAATGTGTCCTTGGTTATTCTTATGCAATTACATTTTTCTTTACGTTACATAAGTACAAATGAAATCATGATTTAGCCCAGCCACTGAAAGCTCGTTAATTGTATTAGGGGTTAGTCTAAAAGTGTAGGTAATTCACCTGTGAGTGGGATTCTAACCAAGCTGAGTGCTAAATTTGAACACAACAAGCAGGATTAGTTGATATTGCTATTTTCAAATAGTCATGAAAACCAATGAACTGGGCCTCCATTAAATATTTCCAGGAGACAATTCTATAAACCGTACAACTCTAAACAGTTTTAGAAAACAAATGAGTTTAGTACAAGTAAAAAGTGAACACGAAAGCTCTGTAAAAAGACGAAGAGGTTAGTACTTCAACCTTTTACAGTAACAAGAGGTTCTCTCTATTTAACAAAGTCTTGTTTAATTAACTGAAAATATTTAGAGTAAATGCCTCAGTGTCTTAGTTATATTGAAAAGAGAACTACAATTAAATTTTGCTGTACTTGTTTTTTAAAAATCACTCCTGTTTCTGAACATCTTTACTCCTATGTACACAAATACTCAGAAGCAGACCACAGCTTAGGGTATTTGTATGGACAGCTGTTAAACACTCACCTGCCTCTTCCTAAGCCAGGGGAAGAGTCAATATTTGTCTGTTCCATTCGCCCAGTTCCTATCTCTCTCTTGGTATAACTTGTAGTTGTATTTTGCATTCGTGTCCTGTTTTGTCCCGGCTGCCTCGTCTGTGGACTCCGGACACCATTAATTAAACGATCAGCAGAAAAGTTAAATATTGTAGGACTGTCTAGAAGCCCAGGTCCCCTTTCTGCATTGGGTATGGTGTGCCGTAGGTGTGATTTGGTAGGATTCCTATAAATCAGAAATACATTGCATTTAAAAATCATTCTGTGAATTTGAACTTTGTTGTATACTTATATAATCCTTAGACATGTATTTGTAGATTACATGTAAAGTACTTTTAGCACAATTAAACCTTGGAACTTCTATTTTAATGTAGTGCTTGACAAACTATTCTAAACTTTAAATATGTAACATATTTCAAACAGTGCAATTGCAGCCCAAGACTTCAGCTTAGGGAACACTGTATTTAGAATGCCTTTCTTGAAGTGACCACTCATCCAGAAAAACAATTTTAGTCATCAGCATTACAGAAAGATACATTTTTAGTGGAAACTTGACAGTTCAGAGCTATAATGAAGCAGTGCAGTCAATTACTTTTAATATTGTTGTGTCTCTAGATTGATATATCTAAGTGTAGTCTGGCCATAATTTATCTTACACCAGTTTAAAACAGTGTGCACTTTGAAAGTTAAAGCGGTCTTTGCTATTAAGAATAGAATAACTTGCGCAACTCCTGGAATATTTAAAAAAATTAAATACATTTTTATTTGATCAAACTTGCCTGCTTCGGGGAGGATACTGTCTGAGTGAAGCCAATGGAGAAGCAGCAGGCTTGAAGGTTGGCGATGTAAACCCATTGATAAATCCAGTATTGTGAAATGGCGTTACCTAAATAACAACAACATTGGGTGGACATACACTTGCAGATTACATACTATATGACCAAACTGAATGTTTATCATAAGAGTGGGAAATTAAATACTTGTTTATACGAAAGATCTTGATTCTCCATACGTTTATCGAATAGTGACTATGGTATTATTTATAGCAAGTTAAGTTTGGAGGTTATTTTGCTTTATTTTAGAGCAGGGCCTCCAATGGGGGAAGGAAGATATGGAGCAAAGAGGAATAAGGTGCAGCTTCCCAGAGATTTAAAAGAGCCCAGGGCTCCAGGTACTTTAAATTGACACTGTAGCCCTGTGCAGCACTGTCCTAGCAGCAGTGAGGGATGGCTGCCCTAGTCCTACCCCTTCCAAGGAGCCAAGAGGCGAGCCAGCCCTCACCCCATAATGCCCTGGGCCCAATTAAGTCTATCACCAACTTGTTTAGAGATCTAGTCCTCTTCGCTTGCTCTGAATGTCAATATAGTTATTTTTGAAACTATATCCCATGTCATTTTATACAAGATGAAATTCCAAAAAGAATCTTCATTTTTCATTTAGTTTTAAGGTTGACAACTCTTTTGGCCAGTGCATGACAAAACTCACTTAAGAGGAATTTTATAAACAGCCATTACACATACTTAAAAGATGACAACTAAACTCAGCAGTAAAAAATTATTTGTAATTCTGATCAAATTTTCTTACGTAGCATAAGATATGTTTTGTATTTCACAGCATCAAGAAGAGAGCTTTACCGTCTAGTAAAACAGTGCCCCTGTCCCAAAGCATTTACAATGTCAAGAGTGCACAAGATGGCGACAACACTGAGCTGAGATGGAAGAAAACCTACAGCAACAGGCTTAGGTTACTAATTCATGCTTTCAGAGGATTAGGTATTTCACTCTTACTGGTTTGGATTCAAAGATAATTCAAGCAAGATTAAGGTGTTAGTACATTTTAGGCAAGGCTAGATGCATAGTGGACAGGGCAGGAAGAGGGTTCCAGGAATGAAGAACCACACAGAAGTATGAGGCGCTAAAGGACAATATGAAGTCATTCAGCTTGGGAAGACAGGTAGCAGAGTATAGAAAGGCAGCAGAAAGCAACATGGATATTATGCCCCAAACAATATTCCCATTTTGCATTTCTAGTATCTTGTACCTCCATTACATAATACACAATAGATGCTCACTATGCCATGGTGGGCAATAGTTTTCACTAGTGTGCCATGCCACACATTTGCTAAATTGTTATGGGCTAGCTCTGGGCTCCCGGACGGGGCAGTACCTCAGGCTAGGCTGAGCTAAAGAGAGGCAGGATGTGTGACTGGATAAGTTTGACACACATACCCTGTACTGCCTCTAGGACAGGAAAAGCTCTCCAGCTCAGTTGTCTTTCCCCTGCCCTGTTCTGCAGACATGGTATGTGAGAGGAAGTATGCACAAGCTGGCTGCTGGAGAAGCCTTAGAAATAGTGGACTGCATTTTAAGACAGGCACCCAGTCACTCAGCTCCATACTTCAGACAGGAACACTGCACAGATGGGATACAGGGCAGGAGACACCCTGACTTTAGCACTCCCCTCCTTCACAGCTAGCAGGAGGGTACTGGGAGTAGCTCAGCTATAGGATGGACAATATGGGGGAGGTACAGCAGAACCCAAGCTGCCAGCTGTGAAATATGTATGCTCTGCTAATCAGCTGGGTGGGCTGGATGTGGCCTGTGGACTTATTTTGCCCACCCCTGCATTACCTTATATTATCACCAAAAAAATTAACCACACTTTCCAATACTCATCTTGAAGTGTCAAAAAGGAGAATACTCTTGTGTCATACTTTTGATATTTCAAGGTAAAAACTGTTCTTTGAGATATTTTGCTCATGTCCATTCCAATACATGTGTGCGTAACATGCATGTTTATGGGGAAACTTTTCCCTGGCAGTACTCATCTAACTATCTGTGGCAATAACTTGTGGCGTCATAAATATCCCTGCTGACCTGACTTGGGCATGCTTACTTGGGGGACCATAGCAGGTGCGTTTGCACCCTTTTGGTCATAATTTACAAAAAAAGCACGCCCAGAGAAATTCCTGTGTGCACGACTGCTTTAGCATGCTACAACACAACCCACAATTGAATGCAGTAACAGTAAGACCAGAGTCTGAATTAATACTTGCATCAGTAAGATGAGCTGAGATTTAACTTCTAAAAAGCTATGAAAAAACGAAAACTACATAAATCAGTGTTTCTTAAATTGTGTGCTGTGGAGAACAACAGGGTTCAAAATGGTCACCTATTCTCTCCCCCCCACCCCCATTCCTCCCCGTCCCCCTTTTTTTTTTGCCCAATAAAAAAAATCCTTGGTGTTCCTCATTAAAAAAAATTGTTTGGTGTTCCTTGGTCTTAAAAAGTTTAAGAAACACTGACATAAATGCTTACAAGTACAGGTTGAAGCTAGAGACTTTAAGAGGGTAATTGACCAGAGTATCAACTACTCTCGCCCCTCCCCCTCACTGCCCGGGGGGGAGAAAAGGGGGGGGGGGGGGGGGGGGGGGAGGAGGTGGAGAACAGCAGCTGATTTCCCCCAGCACTGTCTCTGTTATGCCACCTACCCCCACCTCTATCAGAGACAGCAGGGGGGAATAGAGGCTGGTGCTGGTGCTTAAAAGCTGGTTTCCCCAGCACCGTTTACACAGGGGAGGGGGCGGGGACAGGGCACAAACCAGGACTCAGCTGTCCTGTCCTAGCTGTGCCTCTTACTACGTTTAAAAGGCAGAGGCTGCCACTGCCAAGCAGCTCCTGGCTGCAGTGGTCCAGGCTGGCTGCCATGAACAGGGGCTGCTGGACTCAGCTCAAGTTGATATAATCATGTAAGTTGATATAATTTGCATTGACCATAGGATTAGTCAGATAACCACAATTTAACATCCCTAGTTAAAACCCTCTTAACTGGGATCTGGCCTGGCAACACCCATGGTTCGGCACGGATGTTGCAAAACCAGTGGTAAGCAATCCTGGCAGCCATGGCTGCCTGGCAGGGTTGGCAGGGCAGAAGGATGCCAGTGGTGCTGGTGGCATGGGTCCAAAAATGACCTTCCCTGGTCCAGCAAAATCCCTCATCCAGGACCAGACAGGTCCCGAGTATGGATCTCCCTGGTCCAGCAATCTATACAAAGTCTTTTTCCAAGAATGGAAGTTACATGTGAACTAGCAGCTATACCTTCAGAAAAAGCACTGTCTGGAAATACAAAGAGCATCACAAATCACTGATGATCAAAATAAAACAGTGCAGTAAATATGCTGACATAATCAAGGGGTTAAGAGAGACACTGCTCAATGTCTTAGGTTTTAAATATAGGTAATTAAAGATTTTATATAGCGTATTAATACTAATAGGCATACTAACTGAGCACTAATATCCTAGATTCAGTCAAAAAGGCTGGTTTTGAAATGTTTGCTGCACAGCGTTTGTAATGCAAATGCTGCAAACTGAAGACCCACCAGAAAGTCCAACTGTTTAATTGTCCAAGCTAAGTAAAATGTGTGAGGTAAATAAATTTAAGGTTATTCAAATCATTCTTTCAGAGCAATTCTTTAAATGATCAACACCCTTATCCCCAGAAAAGCCCTAAATTTGACAATATTCTTAGGATTATCGTTTTCAGCGTTTGTAATGCAAATGCTGCAAACTGAAGACCCACCAGAAAGTCCAACTGTTTAATTGTCCAAGCTAAGTAAAATGTGTGAGGTAAATAAATTTAAGGTTATTCAAATCATTCTTTCAGAGCAATTCTTTAAATGATCAACACCCTTATCCCCAGAAAAGCCCTAAATTTGACAATATTCTTAGGATTATCGTTTTCCATTCG